GGGAGTAGGTACGTATTTGTGACATTAAGTAACTTAAGGACCACGTGATAGAAGAATCACGGGAGTAGGTACGTATTTGTGACATTAAGTAACTTAAGGACCACGTGATAGAAGAATCACGGGAGTAGGTACGTATTTGTGACATTAAGTAACTTAAGGACCACGTGATAGAAGAATCACGGGAGTAGGTACGTATTTGTGACATTAAGTAACTTAAGGACCACATGATAGAAGAATCACAAGAGTAGGTATTACATTCCAAATTAATTTCCTTTCCCAGCATAAGTCAATACAAAGTTAAACAAAACATTCTGATTCAACTTCAACTCATTCCCAATTTACACAAATACATCCCTTTTCAGTTCATAAGGAAAAAATCCTAGATCAAGTCTACAAAAATTTCAATTCAACTCATTGCCAATCTTCCCAAACACATTTCTATTAATTAAAGTTGCCTACCAAAATTTAACTTGACTTTGGCCGAAACATATTGTCCTTCAGTTACTTAATGTCACAAATACGTACCTACTCCAGTGATTCTTCTATCACGTGGTCCTTAAGTTACTTAATGTCACAAATACTTAGCTGCCATATAGAGTTAGCCAGAGAAGAAAGAGATAACTAAATACATTCTATTTAAAGTTCATAAGGATCTGATTCTACTATCAGTTAAACTACATTGTGGGTTATCTGATTCTGTTATCAGTTAAACTACATCATTCTTTGTGGGTTATCTGTCTGCTAATTGTTAACTAGATCATTCTTTATGGGTTATCTGATTCTGATAACAGCTAAACCACATCATTCTTTATGGGTTATATGAATCCCAGAACTAACTAGTTCTGCTAACAACTGAATTGCATCATTCATTAGCTGATTTAACACTTTAACCACACTTTTCTTGTTTGGAATCAGATATCTATAAATGACAATTTACTAAATAACCTAAAATTTATAAACAGAATTTCATGACAGATTAAATTTCCTAATTATTATGAAATCAAATTAATTGGTGTGTGTTCAGAAACAACCAATTACATAAAATCCTAAGTATTATAAAGATTTAAACCATAAATAACTTCATATTGAACTCTTTTAATGTATTTATTTCTACTGTCACAATTTAAAACGAATTGAAAATGAAAGTCACCAAAAATTCCTAATGATTTTTTTTCTTTAATCGCACAAGTCATGTTCTAAAGAATGAAACTGAGAATTATGTTTTGTCTTACGTAAGTGCAAACCAAATCTTGTATGAAATGTGAACAGACGTTGATATTAAAACAGTCTAAAAAAAAGACCAAAAAAATGGAAGAAAGTAACTTACTGCTAACCACTTGGATTTTGCTCCCATCAACCACAAAACTTCTGCCTTAGGACAATGAGCCACTGCTCTCTGCAAAAGTGTTTCCAACGATTCCCTAAAAAGTCAAAATAAAATAAGGTCTACAGTATCACAATAATCAGCACATTACCTTAACAGTATGTTGGTGTAAATGCCTTGGATGGTGTGTGATGATCCATTTTGAATGGTGTAATGAGCTTCAGCCATTGGTAGTATTTTGGAGACAATGCCTTGAAGTTTTAGAGCAGTTCTTAGGCCTTTATCAGTTCAATGTAGAAAAGTTACAAAGTTCAACAAAGATGTAGCTGTGAGAGTCAGCCAGGAAAACAATGGTGAATTCTAGGACTTCTCAGGCTTCAAGTTTCTCTCACAGCCTTATCTAATACCACTGCCACCTTCTGACATTGACCAGAAAAAGACCTATGCGAACAGTTCAAAACACATTCTTCCAACTCCAGAAGGTGTTTGGTTGTACTTTTCACCCCACCTTCAAATACCCTTATATATAGAAAATTATAAATGATCCACTTGTAACATGGTGGATCTACATCACTCAAGTCAGCCTAATATGTAGCAGATCCTAGCCTGAACCCATAAAGAATGATGTAGTTTAACTGATAGCAGAATCAGATAACCCACAATGTAGTTTAACTGATAGTAGAATCAGATAACCCATAAAGAATGATGTAGTTTAACTGATAGTAGAATCAGATAACCCATAAAGAATGATGTAGTTTAACTGATAACAGAATCAGATAACCCATAAAGAATGATGTAGTTTAACTGATAGCAAAATCAGATGATCAGCAAAGAATGATGTAGTTTAACTGATAGTAGAATCAGATAACCCACAAAGGATGATGTAGTTTAACTGTTAGAGGGTGATGTGTTTCAGTTACGCTACTTACTCCTTGGTTGAAAGCATCTCTTGCAGCTTCAGGTTTTTGTTCTTGTTCAAGAATCTGTCCTTTCATCATCCACAACTTGGGGAACTCTGGATAAAGCTTCAAGCCTTCTTCTAGAAGTGATTTTGCCTGGATTAGATCACCTAGAGCCCACTCCAACTTCACAGACTTCATCATCACCTATGTTAATACATATAAAGATCTATGTCTTGGACACCATTCTTTTTGTTAAAGCCTTCTAATTTCAAAACTTCCCTTTCTATACTTCTCATCACATATTGCAAACACACATACCCATGTAATGCTATTTCACAATTTAAGTCATATTATCAGATGGACCACATAACTGACCAACAAGCTTACAGTGGTCATTTACTCCTGATGAAGAAAAGTCCATTTTCTGAAAGGCTCTGGTTATTGGGTTTCTTTTCTGATGTTAATTTTTTTTCTGTTGATCTTGTATTCTTCATAATATCATGTATTAATACATATTCATCATGTGTACGGTAAGAAAGCCACAGATTTATATTATTCATTGTTTGGACTGAATGTCATTAACAAAGCATCAGTTTGAATGAGTTTTTCACAGCCAAATAAAAGTAAGAACAATTTGAATTCTAACACGTGCTCTATTATAAAATGTGTCGGTAGCGAAAGGGTGAATAAAAATCTTGGACTATACATCAGTAATTATAAGATGAAAAAGTACAATAAATGTATAATCTTACCCTGGCTGTCGGGGCACTAGAACGGGCCTTTGCCAATAAACGGCGGGCTCTTTCATACTCGTTGTTTTCACTTTCTAGCTTCACAGCAGCCAACCAGATTTCTTCACTGTTAGGGTTAGCCTGAAAAGCTAGAGACAGGATACTTCTTGCTGCGGGAACATCACCCTGTATTAAAAATAAAAAAATTGAATATAATAACATAAAACCATGAAATGATTGCAAGCAAAACTTTGGTTGAGTTTACTACGAATTACCACATTCTGTTTTATATCCAAAATCAATAACACTAGCTGTTTTACCTTTACATCACTGAATAAATGTTGTACTAAACAGGGATGTGTAATGAACAGTCATTGTGGGTAAACTGC